TGAGGCGCCTTTAGGGTGGGCTCCTTGATTGCTCCGTTATTATAAAAGGTGGATTGAACTGTGACGACTACTATTAATTTTGTGAAAACATTTTCGATTTTAACGCGATGGCTTCGAAACTCTGAGCACAACTAACAGCTATCATTCGGCAATAATAATATAGCCACGGCTAAAAGCGAAGCTCTGGTTAATAATACTTATAAATAAAAAATGAATTTTTGTAATGCTAAACGGGAACGGCAATGAAAATGGCATCAAGATCAATAGATGTAATTAGCAAAAAAACAAATTTGCAAGTGCAGCTCACTTTTTTTTTCTAATTATATAGCAAAAAAACAAGTTTGTACGTGCAGCACCCTTTCTTTTTAATTAGCAAAAAGACAAAGTTGCACGTGCTGCACGCCTTTTCTTTGCTGTTGTTTCGCACGACTAGACTACAGTGCCGTTTTGTACCACTAAAACGTCATACCTCCTAGTTAATCAAACATTATTTTTATGGAGAAATTGTCTATGTGCTTACCACAAATTTTGTTTCCTATGTTCATGTTATGTTTTCACTGTTCTCATTTTCACCTTGCTGGCCGCCAGCATTTCTCATTTTTTTCACCGCCTCTATGAAATTTTCATGTTTTTTCTTCCAACGAAATTCGTCGCCTTGGTGTTCATTCACTCGCTCTAGCTCTTTCTCTGTTATCCACATGAGTGTACACATCAAAAATAACGTCGAAAAAAACACGACTTTTTTTTTCTCTAAAAGTCCGGGTCATTCCAAATTAAACCTTGAGTTGCATTTGGGTTATTATACCTGTTGATTGAGTTATTTTTTTATTGTCGGTGTGCCTGTGGTGCAGACGGACGGGCTGTCGGGCGGACGTACGGTCACGTGACTACCAAAATTTCTCGGATGCATAGGTTACCAAATTTTCTCACCCATGGTGCTCCGCGCGAGAGAGAGCTCAGCTATCAATACGGAAATTCAGGGCGCAGAACGAAGACTCGATGATGTGTCATCCGCATGCGGACCAACAAGCCATGTTGTGGTTAAACAATATTCTAAACAAAACACACTTCTACGATACTAGGTTACTCCATCAGCCTCCAGCGTCGATAGTTCTTCATTTGAGTATCATTTTGAATTACATCTATTGATGCGTGCACTGGGCATATGATAAGACGATGCGTTCTCTACGCTAAAGACTTTCAACCATTCCTGAGTTTTCAAGTTTTTGTAAAAACAAAAAGTTTAATTATCACGCATTTTATTCTATGTGGCAATATAAACCCAAGCCCTTCAAAGATAACCCCACGTGGGACTTGAAAGACACGTGATGTGGCTAAGATGGTCACGTGATGTGGCTAAGATGGACGGTTGTATGTTTGAGTGCTCCTCGTAACATTTCGTAAACTTTAAAATGTTTAAGTGTTCCTTCTGCTTTCTTCTATTAGTTTGGTTATATTGTTTCGTGTGTCATATTATGCCTGAGGTTAGTCTCTCTTCATAATCGTTATTAGCCTCCCACGCTGGCGGTTTTAGGGGAGCTCGTTTTTCATCCCTCCCCACAAACGCCTGCTCAGCCGGAAACAACGTTCCTTTCCCATTGTTTTATTTGCGTGGTAAGTGACCAATAAACAGCAAAGTAAAATGTAAATGTAAAATGTCGCGATTGAGAGGACAAACATATATGTCCTCTTTACATAGCTTTTTGCAGTGGGCTCGGACATCAGCATACTAAGGGCGCCGATGGCAGCCGCTATCAGTCCATTTATGAGCCCACTGAACCCTCCCAACCCATGATGAGTGATGATGTAAGTGATGAAGATAGACCACAACACCGGGAACTACATCCCCTACTCTTTTCGAATAGTGTGTGGGTTCTTTAACGTCCCACAGAGTTATATGTGAAAAAGGTTTGTGAGACGGGACCTCCGGTTTATCGTCCTTATCCGAGAAGACTTGAAAGTCTAATCATTTGCGGATGTCATTACAAAGACAGCACTTTCTCCTCAGTTATTTTTAAGACCCTGAGTGTTGGTCCGGCCAGGATTCGAACTCGCGACCTCCCGCTCAGCAGACCGGCGCTCTCCCAACTGAGCTAATCGGGCGGTGGTCAATAAAGTGTTGACAGGCTAAACACGACTGAACGTGACCTTAGAGTTACCGTTTTCCTTCTTTTCTTTCCTTCACTAAGGTTATGCAGTGCATGGAGTATTCTAAATTTTGACTACATCTTATTTTTGCCGCTCTGAATCTAACATTTATTAGAGGTCAGAAAGCTTTCCCAGTGTTTAATGCAGATCGAGTAATTATCAGACTACCTTGCGGTCAAGGTCAACTTTCCAGAATTTGGAAAGTACAATGTGATTGGGTAAGGTTGGGAAAGGAATGTTGTCTTCCGTTGAGCAGGCGTTTGTGAGGAGGGATGAAAAACGAGCTCCCCTAAAAACGCCTGCGTGGGAGGCTAAATCGTTATGTACTTACCTTGTATATGTTAGATTAAATTCTATTTACTGTATAGTAGTGTCTTCACTGTTATTTAGTCCATCTATATATAAATCTTGTTTTGTAATACGTCTTCAGCTCCCCACGCGTCGATTAGTTTATAAGCTATTTGCGGGTGGGAAAGTAATGTAATTAGTTATTTTTCAATTGATTTTCAATAAAATTTGTTGTTGTTGTTGTAGACAAACTGTGGTTGGGAAGGAAGCCACCGGTCAAGGAATGTAGTCTGGATATTAATAGATCATTCTATTCTGTTATCTATAAAAACAAAGTGCTTTTAATCCTGACAAGTTCACAATAGGTAGTTACATTTTGTCTTTTTTTTTCCTCTTGTGGTAGTGTCTATAATGTCCACTTTACTGTTGCGTCGGTTTGGTTGAAATAGCCTGCTGCCATTTATAGCTTTTCCTTGTTTCATTTTTGTTTAGTTTTAAAGCGTTTTATGATGATATATTAAACTTCAAAACTTTTGCCGTTGAAGTCAATGACAAAGTAATTTATTATTTTATTAATTCAGATAACACTTTTGCTAGTTTTGTCGATTGTTATGAACCAACGGTTATTGGGGAAAATGACTTTTCCTTAAGAATATTGTATATTAAGCTAATATTTCATTCAAATGATCATTATTTCTTTACAACGCAACAAAAGAAGAAAACAGTGAAAAAAGGCCGGCATCGAGAAATTAAGTTGTAGACAGTTTTTAAGTGCCGTGTACGCCAGAACGTTCAGGCTTAAAACAAATGTAGGTCATTGAACAGAAAATAAGATCGCTTTATCATTCTACCGTATTCCTGTTGCTTGTAAGTGAATTCTTGCATATTTTTAGCTTCTTTCGAGTTTGCCTTTGCCGCCATTTTGTTTGTTTTTCACCCGTCTCAAGATCTCGTACCCAGATCTTCTCACTCTTTATCTTGGACGCCATTTTGAATAAATTTCCACTCTCCGTAGACAAATCGGTCACGTGATTTCTGCTGTGTGCCAGGGTCTTCTCTCCTGCCGCCGTCATATTGGAAAGAGAGAAGACCCTGGTGACGAAATTGGTCCAAAAAAAATCGTTTTGCAAGCCGCCCTCTTTGCTTGAAGACCTAACTGCAACGGAGATTCTTTTCCAGTCCTATGCCGCGACTACCACGACAGATTGGCTTGCATATCACATTACGTCCGAGGACATGTTCACAAGAGAGGACATAACTACAATGAAGCACCCCTTTCCCCTCCCCGAACTCAGCTTCCGCTCTGCTCGCTTCGCCCGAGGATTTTTTTTTTCGCACTTTTCCCCACAAGCTACGAAGCATGGTCCTAGGCTAAATATTTGGAATCCAGCTAAGTTTGTCAAAACTTCTCTAATAAAACAAGTCAAAAAGATTTCAAAAGCCTTAATTGTCCAGTGGCAGTGTTATCGTCACTACGAAGCAGAAGCAAAGACGTTTTGGGGTTGCACACGTCAACCGAAAGTGGCAATTCATATTTGGCAACGTTAAGACACGAAATGGTCTCACTTCCGGTAAAGGTGTGTCGCTCGAAAACGCTTTTGCTTAAGCTCCCTTACAATTGGTCTCACTACTTTAAACGATTAGGGGTACCCTTAGTGACAGCTGTTGTTCTGGTAATTATAAAACGCTTCTACGAGACCATCATTTCCTGCCACACCACACTTGAACCCCGCCAAACTGCAGGCAAAGATCAACGCTTGTTCAACCGAGGACTCTTTTATGAGGCTGTATATAGCGCCAGCAACGAATGTATCGCCGGCCCCAAGAGTGTCAATGACCTTCTCAGGGGGGTAGGCATCGCTGTGTTTGACATCACCATCGGGACCAGCACCATCTGCACCTTTTTCTCCCCAAGCACAAATCACGGTGGCACTAGGTTTGATTTTATTACGCAGGGATTTGACAGCTTCGGAGGCTGAAGAATAACCACAGAATTGAGCAAAATCTTTGCTTATGAACACAACGTCAGCTTTATCTAGCAATGGTAGGAGAGTTTTTCGCGGTTTTTCTAACTCCACAGAAACGATAATCTTGTTTTCGAGCGTGAGCGTGGAATTCCATTTTTCTACCATATCAATCATCTTCACAATTTCTTCCTCGTTTCTTCTACCTTCGAAATGAACCCAGTCGTAGTTCGACAGGTTGATTTTCTTGAGGGCGGATACTGAAAGCTCCGGAAGGTTATTTCTTGCGTGCACCACCGTTCGGCTTCCGGTCTCGAGACTCAGCGTCACACACGAAGTTGGAGTACCACAGTCGGGATGTCGAACACAGCTACTGTAACACACTCCACGGTCACGCAGGTGTTTGCAGACAAATTCAGCTTCAGCTCCGCGTGACAAGGAACCAAGGAACTCACACTGCATCCCTAACTGAGTCAGCACCGTGGCATTGGTGCAAGCATTTCCCCCGGTCTGCCATTTTTGGGATATGGCTCGGATGTCTTCGTCTTCATCCGGAAAACGTTGACAGGTGCTGACGATATCAAGGGCAATGAGACCAACGCAAAGAGCACGGTGACGAGGCATGATAAATGGCTTTTTTCTTTACGTTTCCAACTCTAAATAGAAACAAAAGTAAAGAAGGTGTTATATTACAAGGTGTGTATCATTAAAGGGACAAGATCTTTGTACTTTCGGCGATTTTGCTCGTTTTCTTTCAACTAAAAATTTATAAGAGTGACGGGGGTGCTCGTCGTACCTTTTAGGGGTTTAAATTTGTGGATTGGTACCACTTAGGGCTCTAAAACCTAAAATGACTGCTGCCAGAGTTGATAAACATTATGAGGATGAAGCGTATTACAATACTTTCAAAAGGTCGTTCAGAAAAAAGTGTTTGAAAGTTAACTTTATTACTATTAAAATTTGCAGTGCCAGTTATATAATTTGTTGTTGTTGAATTGGTACCTCTTAGGGGTGGAAATTAATTTGGGACAGGTTTTGGTACCTTTTAGGAGTGTTCTCGAAATTTTCCGACGAGCAGCCCCTTGACTTCGATAGGGGAGTAACCCCCCGGGCTAAAAATTGGCAGACGACGGTTTTTAATAGGCAAAACACAGCCACGTATCAGTCAAGAACAAACAATACGAATTAGGGCCCATTTGATCCCATAAGTTAATGCAACTCTCCATTGTTTTTGAACAGGTTATTATTTTGAATAGTTGGTAAAGCAAGCCACTCTGATAGCCCTTGAGGGGACACATATTGCCTGAACTGTAAGTATCCTGAAGAGTCCAATACAATTTCCTGTCACGTTGTTACAGTAAATTGTATGGGACTTTTGGAGCACCTCAGGCAGTATCCGAGCGAGGCGTTATAATCTTTTTCTTATGACACGGATTTGATATTTAATTTCCTCCATACAACAACACCAAATGCTTTATTTGCATGACCACAAAGGAATTACAGTATTGCAAAAGCTATTAGTCTAAATTTAAGTACCAATTCAACTAATTAGTACGTGCAAAACATTACAAAATGTTACAGTTCTCATTCACTCATTCATTGATATTAATTTGGTTCTTAATTCAAAGCATTGCGAGATAAATGAAACTAATTGACAGTTAATTAAATAATCAGAAGAATTCATAAGAAGAGATATTAAAGTATCGTGTGAAAGTGATTTGAAGTCAGGTATTTTAGTTTCTAGTTTGGAGAAAAATATGTCTCTGATCTGAGAATAAACCTTACAATCTAGTAAGAAATGATTTTCATCTTCAATTTTGTTACTTGTACAAAAGTAACATATCCTTTCATTGCGAGGGATTTTTTCGTATCTACCTGTTTCATTTCTAAGTTGATGACTACTTATTCTAAATCTAACTAATGCTATTCTCGAAGGGCTTTTTCTTGTTAAAACTAGGTACGGCGAGGGGCTATAGTCGTCTTTGATTGTACAATAAAAACTGAGTTTTTGTGATTGCTGAAGGGTCTGATTCCAGTACGAGACGTATTTATTTTTCATTATGCCGATATACCGATTAACTATTGAGTCACTCAATGAATTACAGGAAAAGTCATAGTTTAGATCGTAGTAGTCAACCAGTTTCATGAGATTAGAGTAAAAGCTAGTTTTTCCGTTATGACGAAGGTCAATTGAAATTTTTAAGGCCTGTTTAACTACAGAATCTTTATCTTTACCAATTTTACCTATCAGATAGTCTAAGTAATTTAGAATCTTTTTATTGATATCAATGATCATGGGGAATTTACCGAGTTCAGCTCTACAAGCAATATTGAATGCCTTGTTATGTACTTGTAAATAAAGTCTACAGAATTGCAAATGGATTATTCCAGACTGATTCAGGACGATCGAAGCACGCGTCAGTGAAACCGTTAAAAAATTTCCAAAATTACCTATACGGCGAGCCGGTTCTCACTTTTGACAAGCGCCAAAGTCGACTGTTTAAATCAAGATTAATAGAGTTATACGTTTCAACATAATGGCCTTATAACGATGTGTAATCTTCAAAAGCGTCTGACACGCATGGCATTTTGACTACTCCTGCAAGCGATGTTCATAAGCGACTGAAAACAAACGGCAAAGCGATTAAAATTGCAAAAGAGACTACTAACAATCAATAAAAGGAAAATAATTCGGTGAAACATATACAGGGACAACGATTTTCATTCACGAAGACAAGTATTAAAGTGTCTCTGAAAATCCTAGTTTATGTTTTAAGCCGGCTTCCTGGTGTTTGCTTTTTTCAAAGATGAACTCGAGGCAAGAAAACGCGCTCAAAGCTTTCTTTTACAGCCAGAATATTCTTTGGAACGTTTTCTTTCTATTTGCGGTTAGTTAATGTCTAAAGGCTTTTTAAAGTTCTATAAGCTTATAATCAAACCTGATACTCTGACAGATTATTGTCTCAAATCTTACAAACGTGCATAAACTAAATAGCCCCATAAACTACGCTCGACTTCATTAAAAATAGGTGGTTTTCACGCAATCTCTGGAGACACTAATAACAATGGTGATATGAACAAATGTTGGTGGACAAACAAAGATCTTTTGTTTACCGTCCACCAGCATGGCGGCGATGACGTAACGTGAAAACCACTCAGGCTTACCATTCGAGATGCACTGAAAACTATCAAGTAAGGCCAGAACCGCTTCAGACTTTTCAACCCTCTTACGCATCAAGCAAGGTGAAAAACGATGCCATCCGAAATAGGATTTCCGACTTTGACAAGCGGCGTATTTCTCAACCAAAAACCCAGAAACAAACTAGCCATAAATAACAAAGACTCTTGATAGCAACTGAATTTCATTTTGTACATTCAAATACCACATTTGCTCAATTTTGCTCAAATTTGCGCAAGAGCAAAGGCGGATATCGCACTAGATTTGCTATCCGTAGCAATGACGGTACGGTAAATGCCACATTTGCACAACATTTACCTCTTGGTGCAAAGATAATGCGCAGCCATGGATTTGAGGGTCATATGCAGATGGTTCAAATGTGTAGGCAAATATCTTTCTTTGAACTATATTTGCACATTATGCAAATGATAGCGCAAATCTGCTGTTTTGCACGGCTTTTGCTTTAGATGTAAAAGTATGTAAACCTGTTATTTTTAGAACGTTTACGCAGCTTTGCAAATGTGAGCGAAGTATGTAATTTGAACAATGTTGGCTTGGGTTATCATAGGTGATCAAATTTTCATAATTGAACCAGATTGCTTTGCATAGCAAATGTAACCAAACTCTTTGTATTAACCCATTCGCTCCTGGAGATTTTGCCGAAAAACGCGTTTTGAAGGTACTCGAGTGGTTTTCTGGCCACTGTCCTGCTATAGAGAGCTAAAACTTACCACAAACCGGTTTACAGGTCGTACACTTCACGGCCTTCTGATCCAGATGCAAAATATCAGCTTGCGAAGTTCGGGCATGCGCAGAAAGCAAAATTTCGGATTTCGCTTTGGGTTTAAAAGTTACACAGCAGTCTTGACTTTTACTTTTCGCTTTCTCTCCTCCCCTCTTTTTTCGCTTTTCTTGCCTCATTTTTTTTTCTCTTGTTGGGCATTTAGTAGGCTTCATTTTGGTATGAATTGTTCTTAGGAAAGCTTTTAGGATCTTAGGATTAGGTAAGTAAGTAAGTAAGTAATTTTATCGCATATGAGCGATAGCTCGTTTAAATGCAAATGTGCCAATGTGTGTGAATGGAAAGGTAGGTGAGCAATGTAATAAGATTTTCATGGAGATTTTCAGGTCAATGTTACATGGTTTTTTGCCTCTTTCTCCGGTGTCCTTGACTGAATTGTGCTCATTCTGGTATGGTTTGAAAGACCTCTTCACTCTGCACAAGTTAGCGGACAAAGTTGTCCTTGACCGTTAAAACTGATGACGTCACAAAGGGTAGAAAGGACGTGGATCCGCACGGGCGGTTACGGGCGGTTCAGGGGCGAACGGGTTAATTGCTTGAGTAATTTATTCTACCTCAGGCGCCATATTGAGCGTAATACATGTACCATTGACTTTGACAGGGTTAGGGGTGGAGCCTTTATTTCATATGCGTTACTGTGATTTTTTCTCTTTTGTTTTGTCATGTTTTCATATACAAAGTTGTTTTGTTTGTAATAATAATTTATAATTATACATATAAGCTGAGTCCAAAGGTCAAAAATGTTAAAATGTGCCACAGGTGTATTTATAATGTTCATAAAGATAATGGCAATACAATTAACACAATTCATTTAATTTCACAATAATTATTACCAATAAAGGTAGAATGACCAGTTATTTTTAGTGGGTTGAGTGACTTTTTTGTACATTTGTTTCAGATTTTTCCTTGAGTGGGACAGGAGTTATTTCCAATGTTCCTGAAATTGAGTGGCATCACTCGAACTCTCCAAAAGATAAAGAGTTCAGTGAAATACAGGTTCAACAGGGGGAAGCTGTTTGTGGTCTGTGCATGAAGAAATGCTCCAGGGGTATTCCAGTGGGTCTCAACTCATTTACAGTAATCATTTTTTCCTCTTCACAAGATAACAGAAGTAAAGCTTACATACTGAATGCTCCCATCCATCAATACCCCATCTGTTTGGGGTAAATGTCACAAAAAAAACCTTACATGTGCTTCCTTGTGTTATATTTTTACCATCTTTACAATATTATTTTTCTTGTCCTTTGTACCAGGCCCTGTTGAGTAAATCCATGTCCCTTCTACAGTGTTCCACAGGGAACATTGTACTGAAACTGTTGAAGCTATAGAACATTTGCACTGATGGAGGTTTCCCCACAGAGCTATAAAGAGTGACAGCATTATTCTTACAGAGGTACCAATATGTACCACCCAATGCTCTTTGTTTTTGGAAAGGCTATCTCACTATCGGATGCCCCGTCAAAACAGCAGTCCATGACTGCTCATTAGCATCGACATATAGCTTCAGAATTAATATGCCTCAGATATTATGTTTTCACAAAGAAAGTGCCTTCAGACAGATCCAAAGTTGAGATGTACTATTTCATTTTTTCTCTCACTGCTCAAAACAAATTTTTAGCTGGAACCATTTTTTTGTCCAGCAAT